ATGAATAGTTTGTATCAAACCGGGTGTTGTAGAACTACTTTTATCTCTGATGACAGTAATATTTTAATACATACGGTAAATACACAGTCCAAAAATATTAGATTCTTAGATTCCTGTGAATTAAATATCATCATTTCCTTGGCATTATAATACATCAGGGATGTAACGACATAAAGTTATTTATTTATTTAAACAGATCTGTGGCCAGTTTAAATGAATTGTATTTGGCGCGGTTTGAAAACGTGCTCTGCAGTCCACAATCGACTGTGCTGCCATCGGCCGGGACATCGTCGAACTAGTACTCAGTCGGCAAGCAAGGCTTTTTTGCAAGCTTTTACAAAAAAAATACAAAACTTAATGTTAACCATCGAAAAATAAATATCTGTCACACTCAATACACTAATGAATATATGCTCTTCAATATGGCGTTTGAACCAGAATTGTTTATAGTGCCAGTCATTTTATATTTTAGCAGAAAGTATTGCAATTCCTTATGGGAAATGTAAGAAATGATTTATTTTATATCCGGCTTATAATTAAACATTATGATTTTAATATTGTACAGTCTTAATCCTACATACATTTACAATGTTTTGAGTGTGGGAAATAATTTTTGGAACACGGATAGACCAGAAAACGAGGAATTATTATATGCGCTCCATGTTAAAGTGACGGCCAGTGTCGGCAGCCGAGAATCTCTGTCCGACCTCCTCTTAATGTGTTCAAGCTTCCCAGTTTATTTTAAGGTCAAAGAAATGTCCAAAAATAAACTTGTATAATGTTATGTTTTTGCATTATTGAGACTTGTGGTTTTAATATCAAAGGAATACCGCAACATTACAACACATTGAAGCATTATTGATTTACGAAAACACCCTTTCAACTGATGCCGATGTGCATGCTAAACAGAAAATGTCCAAAATCAGACCAAGATTTCGAACCAGAGAGAACTAATTTTATCTAAGAAGTGTTTAAGAACTTGCACCCAACACGACTGCATTAAACTTGCCCAGTAAGCAACAGTTAACCTACACAAAGTACACTACCCAACTAACGTTGCCGTCGGCGTCGCGTCACTGCTACCGCCTGAAGAATTGGTTCTCAGTGTTCTCATTTTTCTACGCCAGTTCCAGTGGCATTTTACAAGGGTTTAACGTGAGAATAAAGTTTTTTTTGGGCAACGTTTTTGTGGTTGTGCCGGGAATTAAATCCGTCCCTTCCGCATCTAAGTCTGAGACACTACCATTTTGTTGTTGTTTTGTGGGGGGCTAACAACATGCCAATTGGGTTGTGGTATTATCACGTGCTCTAAATATGAATACTATTTAATATTGAAAGTTTTGAAATTTGCTACGGTAATCATTGAATTACATTACTGTGATAACAAATTCCAAACCTGAGCTCAGATAAATTAATATTCAACTACCTTTCAAGCTTTGACTATCGATACAAATTATTTTCTTTACCCAATATCCAATTCAAGTTTTCAATCATCTAGATGAAAGATAACATAAATGCCCAAAAAATTAAAAGAGAAGAAGAATGCGGCTTAACGTTGAACGTCAGCATCGGACACTGCCGTTGCTGTATAAGGCTGAAAAAGCATCCGTCGTCTGCCAATCTTCCCTACTTTTCATAACGTGCAAAAAATAGTCGGACTCAAATGATCCCGAGTTTTAGGTTAGAGTTTGTAATTAGTCCTTTCGTTCGCCACAAGTGTAAAGACTACAATGAATTTCAATTTGGTACATAGAACGATTTTCAATAAAAAGTTTCCCTGGTATAATAGTTTATCTATATAACAAATATTTTGGGGGGGGTCACGACCCCCCTGACCCCCCCCCCCCGGGACCGCCCTTGGTCAGTTTTGAATGTTTTTATTTTGAAGTGAATTTGTAACTTAAAATAAAATTGATTTTGTTAGTGGAAGTTTAATGGAAAGTAAAATAAACAAACATATTCTGTTTGTGATTTTGATTGAGCAATTTTCAATCTGGTGGCAGAAACATGACAACTACAGTTTGAATTGTAACTTAACCTAGAAAATGTCAGTTTATAAAGAAAGGCCAAATAGGCTATACCGGGCTACAGTGAAATGTGTTTTAATTTTAAATTAACCCATTGGCGCCGACTTACGAGCGTTACTCGTACGGCCGCTGCAGGCCCGGAGGCCGACTTACGAGAGCCGCTCGTGTCACCGCTAGGCAGCGCCATTAGTTATTTAGTTATTATTATTTTTCACCCTTTTTGTTTCTTCTTACTATTATAATGTTTATAAATATCTTGCTTCTTGATTTGCGTATTTACTCATTTATTTTAGCGAATAACAAACAATTTTGTGTTGCCATGGAAACCACATATCACCAAAAATCAGCTGCGGTAAGGTAAACAAACAATTTTTTTTTTATGTTATCACTTATTAAAGTACACAACTTTTGATTTTTCTACGTAGGGAATCGATCGACCTTTATAATAGTAGTGTTATTTGGTGTCTGGATTAATCTTGGAATTTGTATATCAAGTTTACTTTCAAAATATTGTTTTTAAAATTTTTATTTTTATAATCTTTATATATATATATTTTTTTAGTTTACAACTTTGACTATCCAATTAACACTTTTCTGTAGACAATTTTACTGTGAACAAAATGGTGAAAGAATTATTAATTTATTACCTAAGGTTTTCTTTCTATAGCAGTTAGAGTAAAAGTGTACAAATTCGGTAAAATTAATTGCCGCCAGAGGGTGCTGCAGGTAGCGGATTAATTCCTTCCCCAATGGGTTAAGTTGTTAATGTGGGATTTTATTTCGAGATAATAGGCCTACTATGTTTTTGTTTGATATTTTCAGTCTGTCAGAGACGAGTGCCTTGATCATTTTTATAAATGTACTGAGTGAAGAGGATAGCCCTAGTACCCATAACCTTCAAACTTAAGACGGATGAAGTGCTTATCCAAGTGATTATTTTAAAATACCTAATTGCATATTGATGTTTTTAACTTATGATACAATATGTAGTTTGATATTAGTTTTCTGTTTTATAAATAAATTTACTTTTATAAATTCTGTTTCTTATTTGAATTGAAATTGTTCTTAAAGTTACCTTATTAAGTTAGTTAGTTAGGTTGATTATCATGTTAGTGAGGGGGAATTAAAGGCAAGAAAAAATAAAAACACACAATAACAAGTGATGTGTAGGCCTAAATAATTTAATGCTGCGGCCAACAAGTAGTCTAGGCCAAATTTTTTATTAGGCCTAAGGTAAGAGGTACTAATAATTAGTAACCATATAACTTAGAAAATTTGGTATAAGTACTTAAACTACCTATTTAGGCCTAGGCAGGGTTTAGGCTAGGATGAAATTTGTTTCAGCAAAATGTCGCAAACTCTCTGCAAAGACAAAAAATAAGTTAACTGTAGAAAAAATATTATTCAATAACTTAAGCATTTAAAACAAAAAATTCCAGTAGGCTAATATTACATTTGTTTGAACATTACATCTTTCAATTTTATTTGTAGAAAATTTGCCATAGGCTAGGCCTAGCCTGCAAAACAATGTAAACTTAGCATTTTTAAGTTGTGAATAGCAAGATGCTAAAAATACTACCACAGCTTAAACCCTGGGCCTAGGCCTACTTAACGCGCAACTACTCGACTCGACTCGATACTCGAGTTTTTACTCAAATACTCGACTCCACTCGAATTGAAAAAACACTACTCGCCCACCCCTAACTGAAGGATGTAAAAAAAAAATATTTTTATTAACTTATATAAGGTAACACTTATATTTTATAACGTTATACGTTATATATATACCGGTACAGGGTTAATAAAAAGTCTGGAGACCCCTGTCAATTTTTGAACGGCCCATACTAGAAAAACTAAACTCTGCACACCTTTATGGCATGTTATGAAGTACTTTTTGGGCATAACCACCACTTCATGTACATCCCCAAAATGGGGGATTTTGGGGGAAACTCAAAAATTTCAAATGGTAAGACCCATCGCGTGACCCCTCATTTTGAAGGTCGTGATAAAGAAAAACTAACAACGCAAACTAGAGCGTAAGTTAACTTAACCCAGTAAAATATGCCATGACAGTCAATTGAAATCTTTAGAAATAAGAATACACTAGAGCACTACTAACATCTCATTTTAAGTATTCATTACAAGGTTACAAACTTTCTACTGAAACCAGTATTTCTCATTGCTCAAAATGAAGGAAAATAAAAGCTACGGTAGGCCTATCTAATAACAATTTCTTCTTCTCTATATGTGTTAAGATAGAGACCTCTAGTTTGAGTTGTTGGTTTTCTTTTATCACGACCTTCAAAATGAGGGGTCACTCGATGGAGCTTAACATTTCAAATTTTTGAGTTTCCCAAAATCCCCTATTTTGGATTTGCGAACCAAGTAGCAATTAGGCTCAAAAAGTACTTCATAACATGCCATAAAGGTGTGCAGAGTTTAGTTTTTCTAGTGCAAGCCGTTACAAAATTTACAGGGAGTCTCCAGACTTGGAAAGCTGTAAGTTAAATTTCACTTCTGAGAATTTCAATTGACTAACCATTTTTTACTGGGTTGAGATAGAGACCTCTAGTTTGCGTTGTTAGTTTTCTTTTATCACGACCTTCAAAATGATGGTCACGTGATGGGTCTTACCATTTCAAATTTTTGAGTTTCCCCCGAAATCCCCCATTTTGGGGATGTACACGAAGTGGTGGTTATGCCCAAAAAGTACTTTATAACAACATGCCATAAAGGTGTGCTGTTCCTACACGTTCCTGCCCCACTTCACTAACTGCTACCATGCCACTGTCGGCCAAACTGGTAGATTCCCAGTATAAGCACGACACTAGCGCTCGTAGGTTAGATTCGACCTACTACTTTAGGGCCAGTGGATTAGCAGTACTACTATCTCACGGCGAAATGCGGTGACGGGCTACACTCGTTAGTCATCGTCAATGGGCTAACAAAAACAGCCATACTTAATTTACTTACCCAGATGAGGCAAGTGCTGTTTCAATATGACACTTTTGATGGCAAACAGGACACAAGGTAAAGGGTGAGTCCTCTACAGCACAGGTCTGTAATTCAAAATTCTTTATTGAGTGCTCTTATACAGCTTAAAAAGCCACATAAAGCACTAATACACAATAACATAAATTACATGCATTACGACTACCCTACAGCAACAGCATAAAACTTTGATGTACTTACAAAAAAAATATTAAAGAATCATATTACTTTATGAAAAAATTATGTTACATAACAATATTAAAATAAAAAATATTAAAATTAACAATTGAAATAGTTTTAAACTAGTTTGAAATACCTATAAACGATAAATAAATTACTGGTAAATAAATCATATCATACTTCATACTAATATTATAAATGTGAAAGTTTGTGTGTTTGTTTGAAACGCATTAACTACTGTTCGGATTGGGTTGAAATTTGGTATCATTATAGCTCACATTTCTGATTAACATACAGACATATTCTTATCCCCAAAATCCTTTCGGGCTTTGCCCCAGTGGCTCTAGAGTTTCCCATGTTAACCTTGTATCTATATATTAATAGGCAAGCATGTTTCTTTAAAACCTTTTTTCTCAGCTTGTGTGCATCGTAGGGAAAATCTAAACATACACTTAGAAAAATATTTTCCTGTAGACGTGCATAATCCATTTATAAATTACTAGGTGACGTTCGCAGAGGCATCCCCAAAATTGAGCGGAGTCATCAAGGGTTCATATTATATTGTTATTGTAATACTGCAGTAAAAACAGTCGTATGTAGAAGTAAAAGTTGCATTTTTACTCTTTAGGGAGTAAAAATCGTTTTTAGCCTCTATGGAGTAAAAATCAGCTGTTGTCAACTCAGTGGTAAATTTCTATTGTAAACGATTGCATGTATCGAAATATGTATCGATTCGTGCTTCGTAATCATTTTAGCCTACAGTCTACAGTCTCTTCCCATAGCACTTTAACATTGCAGTAAAATTAATGCATTCCCACGCTCAACACTGCTCACCTTTACTACTTCCTTCACCACCCCCTACGTTGTGGACCTGTTTCCCTCTCTTCCCTTAGCCTTTAAGGATTGCAGATACATTAATGTTTTTGCCCACACTCTGCACTACAAGCCTTACTACTTCCTTCGCCATTTCCTACGTCTTAGCCCTGTTTCCTTCCCTTCTCATAGCATTTAAGTATTAGATACATTTATATAACTGCCCAAACGGTTCCCCCACTCTGCACTGCCAGCCTTTACTACTTCCTTCACCACTTTCTACGTCGAGGGGCCTATTTCCTTCCCTTCTCATAGCATTTTAGGACTTAAGATACATTAATCTAACTGCCACAGACGGTTCTCACACTATGCTCATACTTTACTATTTCCTAAGCCACTTCCTACATCGTGTACCTGTTTTCATCACTTTCCAAACATTGACCACACCCCGCACTGCTAGCCTTTACTACTTCATCCAACATTTTCTATGTCGTGGACATGTTTCCATCCCTTCTCATAGCATTTCAGCATTGCAGGTACATTAATGTAACTGCTACAAATGGTTTCCAGTTCCCACACTCCACACTGATCACCTTACTACTTCCTTCACCTCTTCTTACGTCGCGGACCTGTTTCCCTCTCTTTCCATAGAATTTTAAGATTGTAGATATCTTAGTCTAAATGTCATAAACAGTTCCCACACTCCGGGCAGCTCGCATTGACTACTTTCTTCACCACTTCCTACGTCACGGACCTTTTTCCCTCCCTTTTTGTAGCATTTTAGGATTACAGATAACTCAATCTAATCATCATAAACAGTTCCCACACTCTGGACAGCTCGTCTTTACTACTTCCTTCACCACTCCCTACGTCACGGACCTGTTTCCCTCCCTTTCCATGGCATTTTAGGATTGCAAATACCTTGATCTAATCGTCATAAACAGTTCCCACACTCTAGACAACTCGACTTTACTATTTCTTTCACCACTTCCTACTCAGAATCCATTCCGAATTGCTCCGGGAAACAGGCCCGTGACGGACCTGTTTCCCTCCCTTTCCATAGTATTCTAGGATTGCAGATACCTTAATCTAATCGTCATAAACCGTTCCCACAATCCGAATAACTCACCTTTACTACTTCCTTCATCACTTCCTACGTAACGGACCTGTTTACCTCCCTTCCCTTAGCATTATTGGATTGCAAATACCTTAATCTAATCATCATAAATAGATCCCACACTCCGGACAACTCGCCTCTACTACTTCCTTCACCACTTCCTACGTCAACGACCTGTTTCCCTCCCTTTCCGTAGCATTTTAGGATTGCAGATAACTTAATATAATTGTCATAAACAGTCCCCACACTCCGGGCAGCTCGCCTTTACTACTTCCTTCACCACTTCTTACGTCACGGACCATTTTCCCTCCCTTTTCGTAGCATTTTAGGATTGCAGATAACTTAATCTAATCGTCATAAACAGTTCCCACACTCCGACCAGCTCGCCTTTACTACTTCCTTCACCACTTCCTACGTCACAGACTTTTTACCTCCCTTCCCTTAGCATTATTGGATTGCAAATATTTTAATCTAATCATCATAAATAGATCCCACACTCCGGACAACTCGCCTCTACTACTTCCTTCACCCTTTCCTACGTCACCGACCTGTTTCCCTCCCTTTCCGTAGCATTTTAGGATTGCAGATAACTTAATCTAATCGTCATAAACAGTTCCCACACTCCGGACAACTCGCCTCTGCAACTTCCTTCACCACTTCCGAAGTCACCGACCTGTTTCCCTCCCTTTCCGTAGCATTTTAGGATTGCAGATATCCTAATCGTCATAAACAATTCCCACATTCCGGACAGCTCGCCTTGACGACTTCACCACTTCCTACGTCACAGACCTGTTTCCCTCCCTTTCCGTAGCATTTTAGGATTGCAGATAACTTAACATAATCGTCATAAACAGTCCCCACACTCCGGACAGCTCGCCTTGACTACTTCCTTCACCACTTCCTACGTCGCGGACCCGTTTTCCTCCCTTTCCATAGAATTTTAGGAATGCAACCTAAATCTAATCGTCATAAACATTTTCGGTACTTTCCTGTTAAAGGGAACATTCATTATTATCGATTATTTATTTCTCGATATATCGATATTTACAAATTGAAACATATCAGCTGACAACTACGATAAATATTGTTCAGTATCAACAAACAATAATGAAATGAAACTGTTCTAAAAAAATAACCTAACATAACTAACCAAACTTGCTGGGTAACATGCCATGTTTAACATGTCTTTTCTGTTATCAAAAGGAATTTTTAAATAGTACAGCAAGTTTGGTTGGTTATGTTAGGTTAGCTTACACCAGTTTCATTTTTTAGTCCATATAATAGACTATTTTAGCCTAAACAAGATCAGTTGTCGATATGTAATGGATCGGTAAACAAAAATATCGATATATCGAAAAAATCATCGATAATAACGAATGTTCCCTTTAACAGGAAAGTACCACATTTTCCACACTCCATACTGCTCACCTTTACTACTTCCTTAACCACTTCCTACGTCACGGACCTCATGCTCAGGACTATCTCAAGCTAGTGTCGTCATTTGATTATATTTATGATCCATACCGTTTCTGTTCTAATATCTGTGGAATAATGCTATCAGCTATTTCTTTATCTACTGCATTCAAAAGTCAACAGCTGATCATATGACTTTGTTTATGTGTCAAATACTGCTTCAATAAGGATTACATTGATATTTTGGGCCCAATGGGGCGGATTCCTGAGAGACTTGTTTAACGCCATATAGATGTTGGCACTCACCAATATGGTCTTTATCACCATGCAAAATTTGAAAACGATTGATTCAGCCGTCTAGGAGGAGTTTGCGTATTACGAAATGCATAGGAGTCAAGGTATAAGAGCTTCGCTCGCTCCGCTCAAAAATAGGCTCCAAAATAAGCACAAAAAATGAATTTAAAATTTTTAAAATGAACATAGGGCTTATGGGTTACGATGATGGTGACAAAATAACAACAAAATACAAACATAAAATCAAAACAAATGAAAGAAATTCTAATCACATGTTTAATTTACAGTGTGAGGTGAAAATAGAGAAGTCTGTTCATTAGATATTTTTGGTTGAGTTTTCGACCACTGGACGACCTCTAGTTCATATTATTTAACAAGCTGCTGTACCCGTGCTTTGCAACGGGAAGAAAATGTGACCTAAAGTGGTGCTGATGTGTGTTTTAAAATACAGCAACTCTATGATTTAGTTTGAAAATAGAAACTGATTTAAAAGCGTAAACCTATTTACTTTCAAAAACCCCTACTTTAATGGTAATGGATTCAAAAGAATATGACAACTTATCTTAGTGTAGCAATAGCATCAATTGCTTCATATTGATGCTTCATAAATGACATGTTTTACCATAATTCTTCAGTTTAAGTCAAGCCTCTGTACATGTAGCTTACCATAGGTATAAATTACAAAATGAAACTTTTATCAATACTTTACAAAACGTATACAACCTTTCTTTAAAACCAAACATAACCCTACTAAATCTACATTCTACATAGCGTCACAAACATCTTTTTCCGTAAATAAACAAAGACCAGGTCATTGTACTGACCAGCTGTTTCATTAACTAAATTAAATTAAATCATTCAAACATTGGAAGCATGCCAGGCGTAGCCCTTTGGAAATCAGCCTGTGGGACAGAGTCCTTAGGAAATTCGTATATATCAATACTTTTCGGCAAATCTACAAACTCTAAGCTTCATTTTGATGTGCCATATGTCTATATTTTTAATTGGTATTTTTAATTGGGTACATAAAATTTGATTGTATCACTTTAATAATATAATAGATTTGTAAGCCACTTTTAATGTTAACATATTAATGACAGTTTGAAGAAACCACCTTTATCCAAACAAAGGTTTCTTATTTAAAAGATTAGGCCTACGTAATCTCTAAACGATAATCGGTACATATATCTAGCAAACATTCGGAGGAAATGTTACAAAAACGCACAAATTGGTTTTGGACGTTTTTAGTTTTACTTCCTAGATAGGAAAAGTACCGATATCGTTGTCGAAATGTAAGTAGAAACCAAAAGTGAAAAACACATTGGAAAAGCGAGTTTAGCTACATCTGTAAGTTAAACTTCTGTTACGATCACAGCGAAATCAAATAGATCTTCCAAGATTTCAGTAACAACCACAATCATCCACTGCATTTGTGATTTTTTACCTTGCACTTTACACAACTGTCCTTGAAACGTCGTCAATAAGTGAAAACCTTTTTGTAAGCTATTAATGACGATGATTAAAAAAATGTAGGTAAGTTTCTTAGCACTAATACAACACAGATTCACGGCATTTTCCCCGGTTATCATAACTCAAGAACAATCCGTTGCACTTGCGATTAATTAAACCGATTAAGTAAGGCACAACGTTTTTAATCTCACTTGGTTTGGATGTGTTAACAAAACTTGGTCGGAAATGGTTGCGGTATTTGTAAACAACTTTTAATGTAAACATATCAGTGACAGCTAGAAGTGAGAACTAATCCCAACAGCTGATCGTTATTTCATAAAATGTAATAGTAAACATTAGGAGAAAATTTGACAAAAATGTAACGAAATTGGGTTCTTGATGGTTTGTTATTTTGTTTTCAAAGAAGCGAGGCCATGTTTTTATGGCCAAAGACACTCTCACCAATCCAGTAAATACAGAAAAATGATTAGAACCTTGATCGGTAATCTAGTTTTCTAGGAGAAGGCCGCGTAAAATGACATTTTGGCGTTACAGACGAAGTCACAGAATGGACAGACAAACAGACATACAGACAGAAATTGAGATAAGACTCGTTTCGGCTTTCTTAGGCTATGAAACGTAAAAATAACCAAAAACTGCATGATTCTAAGAAATGTACAGACAAAACTCTAATTTTATTTATATAGATAGGAATTAAAGAATTTAGTCAGCTGTTTCAACTACACAAGTTGGTTTTCTATGCTATTCAATAGCATTAAAAGGTTAAATAATGTTTACCAACAGGGTGCAGCACTATTAATCCTTTTTACATTTAAGACGACTTCTATTGAACCAACTAGCAAAAAAAGCTGTGAAAAATGAGAATTTCACTTTTTTATTGTTTAGGTGCAGTGATAGAACATTATGGCTATGGTAGATGTGCTATATAATAGCATATACCGTAAATTAAAAGAACCAAATTTTCTTAAACCGTGTCCTCTCCCATTGCAAAGGCAAAGCACGAATATAACTGCAATAAGCATTTTATACTTATACGTCAACCCCGTACGAAGGACGGGTACTCTGCTAGTAAATAAATATATATACACTAACAAAGAACCATAAATAGACAATAATATGCAACATGCAACCAGCAAACATGACTAATTGGCACTTTTTATAAAAAATATTTATATTACTATTTAATTTAAATCCAAACATACTTAAAGAATCGTTAAAGATGTTGACTTTTCAGCAAGACAATATATATAACCTACACACGTTGTTTAGTGGTAATGATAAGACACAGTAGGGCCTAATACTAATGATAATATTTTAATAAAGTACAATTGTGTGAATGCACTTTAATATAAGTATTTAACATTTCATGATTAATTTATTTACACTAAGATGGATTATATATATATTTTTTAATGATCTACCATTAGTATAGGCTACATCAGAAAAATTTCTACCACATATACCTTTATTTTGAAATTCTTATCTATCTATAGAGCTAGAGTATTGCTCACAGTGGTGATGTAGTTTCCGGCTTCAGTGTAAGCATTACTGAGAGCGACTCTAGCTGTATATACAATAGCTTGCAAGTGGCTTTGGTGATGTTTGTCATTAATTTTTTACCATAAGCTGAGTGTCATTACAAAGGCTTGGCTGGCTTATGTTCCTCACACGATGATTACCAAACCGACTTTTAATTGTAGATTGTGAGGTGGTAATCCGGGCAATTCCAGTGAATTCAAAAACTCTGTTGGATAGTTTACAATATCATCCTGGGTAGCAATGGAATCAACAGATTTGTATGTCATCGATTCACCAGCTATCTTATTTTTGAATTTGAATATTCATTTCTTTGACATCAACATTTGTTGCAGCTAATGTAACTAGTTCGCTCAACCAAACATGATTTTTGTAGTTTTGAGCCATGTTTGGGAACACCTCCTCAATTAGTTTGTTTGTTGATTTTGTAAAATTGGAAAAATTGGCAGGGAATGTAATGTATCCAGACGATGTGTCAACAGGTATTCCACCATTTCCAATTTCGAGCAATTGTTTGGAAATAAACTTTTCCAGATTGGTCGTTCTGCAATTCTACTAACTTGCATGTTAATGTTTAATTTGAGTGTTTTGACATGTTTCCATATAAAGGAGGACTTCAAAAATGCATTGGGTTTGTCAGCTGGCGTTGATCGTGGAATAACTGGTAATGTTTGTCTAAAATCCCCTGCCACCAACCGTTTAGTAGGTTTGAATCACAAGATTCTGCTGTATTAGTCATGATTTGAAATAGTGCCATAATGTTTCCACAGAATGCAGAACAGAAAACTATTTTACTTTTGGATGGGTCCAAATAAACTAAACCCCGATCGCAGCACACCCGTGCACTCAACAAAGTTTAAATTCTCTACTACTGTATTAAATAATATGTTAACAAAAAAAGTAAAAACCTGTATCAAAGTATTATAAACAATAAAAGGGATGGCAATGCCTTAATATTTTTATCTTTTGTTCTATACCCACACAATCAAACATAAATTATTAATTGAATAATAACCGTGCGTGCTATCTCAGGTATTCAAATGCCTCTCAATTTGTCATTAACCCACCACATTACTGTCATTAAAAGAAGGAGCTCCAATAATATTAATACTATTTATCGTAAATAAAAAATTACAAATTAAAATAATAGTTGTTAGCGCAGCAACGCACGCCGGGTAACTGCTAGTATATAATATATGCAAAAATGTTTATAAACATTGGAGTTATTCTTATTTAAAACCCGGTATTTCTGCTGCTCCCTGTACAATGGTTTGGTAAAATAATTATGTTTTCAATCAATAAAATGTATAGACCATACAATTTTCATTATAAACTTAAGTGGTGATGGACATTCCAAACTAACTAAAGAAATACATACCACAGGTGGTGGGGGAGGTACGACAGTAGATGCTAGTTTGCCACTGGATTCGTCAGAATGCCACCACTGAAGACATTGCAGAAAGAAAGCTCCAACCTCCAGTCCCTGAGTTAGACCATTACTGACCATCCTCATACATGCCTTTGGGTGTCTGACAAATACAAACAACAATAACTTAAGCTGTACTTAATTTCATTCGCTAGAAGATTGTGGCTGAAAGACACTGATGCATTTTGTGACTGGCTCACACAAACTGTGTTCTTTTTTAACAAAAAATTGGCAACAGCTTGTCCAAATAGATGGCATGTATACTTCAGTCTCCAACAGTCAATGCTGGAGGCATATAAACAAACAAGTTAAATTTACCATCCTGATAATTTAAAATAGAACTTACGAGAAGCAAATGGAAATTCACTTAGTCGGCAGGTTTGCTGCAGCAGGGGTATTTACATTATTTTTTGTTTGTCCAACATACTTCATCTCACAACTGTCACACTGAATTTTTTTTAGGATTTCCAAGAATATTTTTAATTTTGTCTTTCGCCTTAACCCATTGGGGAAGGAATTAATGCGCTACCTGCAGCACCCTCTGGCGGCAATTAGTTTTACCGAATTTGTAGACTTTTACTCTAGCTGTTATAGAAAGAAAACCTTAGGTAATAAATTAATAATTCTTTCACCATTTTGTTCACAGTAAAATTGTCTACAGAAAAGTGGTAATTTGATAGTCAAAGTTCTAAACTAAAAAAATATATATATATAAAGATTATAAAAATAAAATTTTTAAAAACAATATTTTGAAAGTAAACTTGATATATGAATTCCAAGATTAATCCAGACACCAAATAACACTACTATTATAAAGTTCAATCGATTACCTACGTAGAAAAATCAAAAGTTGTGTACTTTTATAAGTAATAACATTTTTAAAAAATTTTTGTTTACCTTACCGCAGCTGATTTTTTGTGATATGTGGTTTCCATGGCAACACAAAATTGTTTGTTATTCGCTAAAATAAAGGAGTAAATACGCAAATCAAGAAGCAAGATATTTATAAACATTATAATAGTAAGAAGAAACAAAAAGGGCGAAAAATAATAATAACTAAATAACTAATGGCGCTGCCTAGCGGTGACACGAGCGGCACTCGTAAGTCGGCCGCCGGGCCTGCAGCGGCCGTACGAGTAACGCTCGTAAGTCGGCGCCAATGGGTTAAATGAAACCATTAATTATTCAGAATTTTTCTGAAACCTTTTCTTAATGTCTTTATATTGTTTGGTATAGGTAGGGCTTATCCATTTTTTTTCTTTGATTGGTTCCAGTTTAGTCCTTTTCTTTTTGTCATTTTTTTTTTTAAAGCTTTGGTCAACATATTGTCTACAATTTTGGTCGCATATCCATTATACTTAGCCAGTCTTTTATGTATTTAAGCTCTTTAATATAATTTTCTTGAGACAGTAAGGTATTTAAGAGGCGATAAATCATTTAATTAAAAGCTGATCTTTTTTGGTTCTGGAGGGTGATAAGAATCTTGAGTGATAAACCTATTGGTATGGGTTGGTTTTCTGTAAATATCAAACTCTAGTTTTTCATCACTCCGTAGGATTAGTACATCCAGAAACAAGATCTTCTTATCATTTTCAACCTCATATGTGAATTTGATTGACAGATAAAAAGAGTTCAATTCGTTGACAAAGTCATTAAGGTTTTCTTTTCGATCAAAAACTGCAAATATGTCATCAACACACCTTAACCAAGTTCTTGGAAATCATGCCATTACTTCTTTTGCTTTTGTTTCAAAATGACTCATGAATATATTTGCTATAAAACATTATGATTTTTTTTCATAGTCATTCCTTCAGTTTGGGTATAAAAAGTATTATTATATATTCATATTCAAACATCTTTATTCGTAAATCATGTACATTGGTGGTACAGTGAATAGTGTCAGAATACTTAAAATAAAAATACTATTTCTATTTATGGGAGGTGGAAAATTCATCAAAAGAATATAATGCTAGATTTATTAAATGCTCCTTTAGAATTTTCTTGAATTTAGATAGGTTAGTTTCTTTTTTTATGAATTCAAGGACAAATTTTAGAAAATCATTACCAGCATATAAGGGTTTTTTTTTCAAAAAATTTTAATTTGTGAGGCTGGACAAACTCCTTTCTCCTCCTAAAATTATAAGAATGCACTGAATTTATTACTTGCTCAGATTAATTTTTTTTGCAATAAGAATTGTTTCATAAATATATTGCCCATAAACTGTAAAACTTTGTAATTTCTTAAAATGTTCTTTTGCCAAATCATCTCGTTTAAGATTAAGCATAATTCTGACAGCTTCTTTTTGTCGCTTCAGAATACTATCCATATTTAATATTTTTGTTGACCCATATAATGCTAAACCGAATGAAATATGGGAGTTGAATGTGTGCAAAATATATACTTTTTAGGGTTTTCAAATTACAATAAAAGAACATTTTTGATAATGCGAACATTCCAGAGTTAGTTTTGGTTAAAACTTTCTGTGTGTGTTTATCCCAATTCAAATTTTCATCTATTATTAATCCCAGAAAATTGATTTGATTTTCCTTTTGAATGTTATTTGAGTTGTAAGTTATTGTTGGCTCTTTTGTAATTCTGTTCTGTGCTGTTCTGAAATTTATAAATTTAGTTTTTTGTGAATTTAATAATAAGTTATGATTGTAGAAATTAGTTCCCAATATTCTCTAATTCTACATATGTAAGAATTTCAGCTTCTTCTGGAGAGTTAGATGATACAATCAAATTTGAATCATCAGCGTAAAGACATAATTTAGAATTTTGCTTGTAGGTTAAAGTATACTCATAGGTGTTTTGGCACGACATATTTGCAGTTTTTGATTGAAAATAAAACCTTAATGACTCGGTGGCAAGAATGTTTAAAACCAACTAGTTAAAACTAATGATAGAGAATAGATCTGACATTTTTATGGAGATATTTTAGTGAAGATATAAGTTTAATCAGGCAAATGGAAATTCGCTTAGTCTGCAGATTTGCAAAAGTGAGGGTATTTTTATTTTATCTTATGGGACAGATATTTCTTAATTGACCTAATGGAATTATGACCTAATGAAAAATTCCCATAAAAACGTTGTGAGTTACAAGTAACCAAGTAAGTAAATTGATAATTTATTTTGAAAAATATAAACAAGTAAAATTTACCATCCTGATAATTTAAAATAGAACTTACGAGAAGCAATCTGTCCAAGTCATGGATACTTGAGGCTGTTCAGGGATATATTGAAGGTTGAGATTGACTAAAGTTAGAAGAGGAGAATGAGCAGTTGCCCGACCTGTCAGATACATCAAGAACTGTACAAGTGATACAGTCTTCCAAGTGACCAACACAGTCTTGTGGCAATATGACAACTGGAACACAACAACAATCATCTACACTTTGAAAGTAAATAGACAATTAAACCAGTACAGATTGCAAATTATTCATAAAACTAAAATTGAAATATAATGAAAAACATAAATTCTTCCACAAACAATTTATCATTAATTTATTAAGTCAAGAAATTTTTTCTTTGATTAATACAATAATAATATTTTAATAATATTAATTATAAATGATATTATATTATAATATTATAAATGAGAAAGTTTGGATGGATGGATGTATGGATGTATGGATGTATGTTTGTGACAAGTGAACGCGAAAAATACTGGTCGGATTGGGCTGAAATTTGGCATGATGATAGCTCACATTCCCGATTACCATATAGGCATATTCTTATTTCAAAAATCCTTTCGGGCTCCGCCCCAGTGGCTCTGGAGTTTCCCATGTTAACCTTATGAGAAATGGAATTATTGAATCTTAACAGCTGTTTCAATTTTAACAAGTTGGTTCTGTTCTGTGATGTTCAATAGCATTAAAGTTACAAAAATTACCAACAGGGTGCAGCACTATTATTTCTTTTACATTTATGACAACAGCTAATTTGCAACCAAAAGGTGAGTGAGCGTAGCGAACGAACTTCAACCTGGAGGCGAGTTAGCGTAGCGAACGAGCTAACCTGAAGGCAAGTGAGCGCAGCGAACGAGCTCCAACCTAAAGGTGAGTGAGCGTAGCGAACAAACTTCAACCAGGACGTGATTGAGCCATGCGAACGAGATACAGTAATCTTGAAAATTAAGAAGTTAAACGGGGCAAAGCCCGCGGGTTACAGCTAGTTATAAATATTTTTTACACAATTTTTAAAGCATATCAATTTATTTTACATTATTATAAGGCACACATATGGCACCTTCTTTTACAAACTTATTCTGTTGGAAATATTGAAAAACTGTTTCTAAATTCACAAATGTTGAAACCTTCAATCTGGTATAGGTTTATTGATGAAATTTTCATGGTTTGGGAACATGTACTAGAAAACCTGTAAACTTTTCTCGAAAATCTAAATCAATTAATTCTCAATCCTTGCTTTAAATTTACCTGGAACTTCTCAGAAGATATTTTTACTTATTGGATATGTTGACTTTTTTGTTAGAGATGATATGTTAAACGATTTTAAAAGATACCAATACAATGAATTACTTAGCTTACTTAAGCTGTCATTGTGCACATATTGAAAAATTCATACCAAAAAGCCTATCAATATGAGTTAAAAACCTTTGTTCTGTAAACCGTGATTACCAAAATTATATTGAAAAACTCAGCAATTCACTTAACAGAAGAGGTTATCCTAAATATTTAATAGACAGTAAAAAAAAGTTTAAAAAATCCTAACACAGATAATTAAAAACAAATCCAAAATTCATTACCCAATACTTTCATGGCCTTTACAAAGTTAATAATGTTTTGTGAGTGGCACATAATATTCTTTCAAATTTACCTCTGACTCATAATCTGTTTACCAAACCCCCCAAGACTAATATTCAAAAAAGCTCCTAACTTGAAAGTTATTCTTTTAAAACCCAAACTACCTCCCACTTCCCAACCATCAGCAAAACCTTCAGGCTGTAATCCACAAACCACGATGTGCCACTTGTAAATCAATCATCCCATCAAAAACCTTCACTAGCAGCCAAACTAAAAAATCTTATAATATTTAGTAACATCACTTGTGATTCTACCTATGTCATTAACCAAATTTCCTGCAAAAACTGCCCAAAAGACTACATTGGCAAAACCACAAATGCTCTTAGAGTTTGGATGAATGGCTATAGGTATGATGTAAATAAAATGAAATGAAATAAAATGTGTTTATTGTCCTTTGAATTTTTACAAATTATTGACAATGTCATAAAACAGCTTAAGTTATAGCATAGTCAACTAACAAGTTCGCTGCTGAGTGCTAGATGCCGGACGGCGCCAGGAGCTGAACTAGCGCTCGCCGCTGCATAGCATTGCCGCTGCTACACTGAATTGCAGTAAAAACAACAGTAGTTATACTGGAGAGCATTGTTCTGCAATAAAACTGGCTTTGGACATAGTGCCAAGCGATTCTGATAGATAGCAGCACTGATCCACTCCCACATATCTTATGGTGTAGTTGTTTATGGTGGTACAAGTAATAACCCAGTAACCTTGTTATGAAAATCAGGGTCTACCTTGCATGAAATGGGGTAGTAGGTTTCTTTTTTTTATGTTGTAATAGTACCGAGATGATAAATCCAAATTTTTGACCTCGGCGACCTTCCGGATCACCGCGAAAAAGCTTAAACATTGGAGGAATTTCGCATTATTTATACGTTTGTCCGATTTTGACCCTGAAGCATAACTTTTTCATGAACAACAACCACAATCATTTTTAAAGTACATTAAATTATCTATCATTTAAGTCCAAAACGGTTGATACAGGCCTAATAGTTTTCAAGATATGACTCAGCAAACAACGGCTAAAATTACCAAATTTTGAACTTTTTTAAGTTTGGCTAACGTTAACCCTAAAGCATAACTTTCTTATTATTTTTCATTAAAACAACCATAATTACTTTAAAACTACATTAAATTACTCACATAAGACCAAAATGGTCATTATAGGCCTAACACATTGAGAGATATGCCTCTTCAAGGTTCATAAAATCTTCTATAAGTGCTTGTATTTTAAGTCAATGAACAGCTGCTGGGACAGGTATTGGGGCAGATGGACTGGAAGTCTGTGGAATGTTTAAATGATCCTACAGAAATTTATAAAAAACTGTACACAAACATGACGAATGCATACAGGGACAGTAGGGTGGATACTAAAAGGAACAAATATACAAGGCCTAAAAAATCCTGGATAACCCACGCTATTTTAAATATGATAAAAGAGAGAGATAAAGTTTTTAAATTATTTAAGAACCATCCAAATAATATTCATTACAAAGAAAGATACACCAGACTAAGAAACCAAGTAAACAAAGAAATATACAAGGAAAAGAGAAATTTTTATCACAAGTTCTTTGATAATAATAGGAAAAACATAAGAAACACATGGCAGAAAATTAATTCCTTATTAGGTAAATAGAAAAAAGAAAGTATAGATGGTATTGTGATGAAATACATGGCAAGAACATCGACAGAGCAAGAAATATGTGATAAATTTGCAAAAAGTTTCACTGAGGGCATTAATAAAGTTATTCACGACTGTTCAATTACAACGATTAACAGTATGCCAGGCAAAGAATGTAGTTCAACATTTTATATACCATTAATAAATAAGGAAAGATTAATGAAATTACTGAATAATATGGCTAGGAAGGGACCAGGGCTGGATGGTATTAGAATTACAGATTTGAAAAAGTATGCAAACTTATTAAGTGGTCCAATCACAAAATTTGTTAACTCATCTCTCAGATATGCAGAAGTACCAGAATCTTTTAAAAAAGCAATAATTATACCTGTTTATAAATCTGGAAGCCACTTTGATTATTCAAATTATCGTCCAATATCAATCTTGTCATCAGTAGATAAAATACTGGAACGTTAAATGTAGCAAATTGCCTGACAAACCACTTAGAGAATAATAACATAATAAGTTCCTACCAGTATGCATACCAGAAAAACAAAGGTACAAATGAACTATTGGCAGATTTTTCAGATTATTTAAATGGTCAATTGAGCATTGGAAATCAAATTTTAGTGATTTTTATAGATTTTTCAAGGGCGTTTGACACCTTAAAACATGAAAGAATTGGAGTTGCGCTGAACAAGGCTGGCATCACAGGTCAAACCAAGAATTGGTTTATGAATTATTTAAGCAATAGGGAAATTATGGTCAAAATAAATAACTCATTTAGTAATTCGGAAAAATTGAAATATGGCGTTCCGCAAGGAAGTATATTAGGGCCACTCATATATTTAATTTATGTAAATGAAATGTCAGAGATTATAAAAAATAGTAAGATATACATGTATGCTGATGATACAGTTCTGGTAACATCAAACAAAAATTTAGAATATGCAATAAGAGATATACTATCAGATTTTTTAGAAATAACAAAATGGTGCCATGACAATGGATTAAGTGTAAACTGTAAGAAATCAAAAATAATGCATGTCCATTCACCTTTCTACAGTTGCAAAGGACCTAGAGTGAAAGCACACTCACATAACTGTTTGCATAGTAAATCATACTTAAAAGAAAAACGTGAATGTCAAATATTGGAAAGTGTTAAAAGTTTTAAATGTCTAGGGGTATTTGTTGATCATAATTTAAAATGGGACTCTCATATTGCATATATAAAAGATAAACTTAGAGTGTGTGCCTCAAAACTTTATTACTTACGAGACTACTTACCGTTTAAGACGATGAAACTAATTTATGCATCTTTGTGTGAGTCAATTCTTAGGTATGGATTAAGATCATGGGGAAATGCATCAATATCAGAATTACAGAAACTACAGGCTGTTCAAACAAGAATATTAAACATTATCACTAAGCTTGATTCTGCTTTTGTCAGTGAAACTCCGATGTTGTGTTATCAGTTGACAGGGGTTTTACCAGTGGAAAAGCTGTTCACTTATTTGTTGATAATAGATTATTATTTTTCAAACAGGTTCAAAGTAAAAAATTTGCATAGATACAACGCTAGGAAAGAATTTTTCATTGTTCCTACTGTTAATAATAAATACACAAAGCGTACAAGAAACTATTTGGTTCCTACATTGTTTAATAGTTTGCCAAAATGTATGAAAGAAATAAAAACATACAAATTATTGAAGGTAAAACTGAAAAAATGGTATATGACCGAGTAGTTAACGTTTTTAGAAAACTCTTATTTATTGTTATTGTTAAGTCATAGTATAATACAAGTTGTGTCTTTTGTTGATTTAAGTTGTCGTTATTCTTTACAGAATTTTACATATATTATAAATCTGTTATCAACTGTTAAAAATATAGTTCCTGTTTTATTATATGTTATAAAGTTTGTTTCAG